CTTTTATTTATATATTTATAAAATAATGTATGCATATTAGGATGCCCTAAAGAAATCAATTAATATTATTATTATTTATTACTAGTGTATCAAAAACTCCTGGATGGTTTTTATGTTTACCATTCCAAATTTCTATTGACAACGTCAAATGCCATTGGTTCAAATCGTACATCAAAACGTCAGTAACCCAAAAATGCCTACCTGCTTGAAAGACTTTCGATGTTCGTTTTTTAGATGAATTCAAAGAATGGCGGTTGCTCGGCCAAGAACGAGACGGCAACTTTCTATTCAGCTGGATACAATCAAATGCTACTACGGACCAATCCCCTTACACTCGTATCGGCGAGTACAACTACCAGAAGAACGTTCTGGTTCCGATTTTTTCCTTCGATAAGAAAGTAGAATGTACTCAGGCATCTGTAAACAGCGCCAGAACATTCTTGGGTTTTGTATTGAAAACCAGCGATGCTACCGGAGGAGAAGCGATATACAATGCCTACTTGTACAGGATCGGAAATAGTTTCGATGACGTTGTGGAATTGCAAAACGAGCGGAGGAAGCAGGTTGTGATACAGTTTTTGTACCCGAAGCAATCGGTACTGTCTGGACAACAAGCTGTGAAGTTTTTGTTGATGATACATCAAGAGGGTAAGTATACTATCTATTTATCTCTTGAAATGGTAATTGAATGGTCAGCATTTATCGGCCTCCCATGAATGATGAGAAAAGTAGAAACACATTCTTTACTCGTCTCTCTGAGGTTTTATCCATTGCAACACATATCTTTGAGTCCGCACTTTTATGTGGCGATCTAAACATAGATCAATCTATTAATAATTTGGTCTCGAAATTATTGAAAGATCTCTTCAGTTCTTACGAGATGACGTCTCTGATAAATGAAAATACCAGAACATATTCAACAGTAAATTACATAAGTTTCTCTGCTATTGATTATGTTGTGTCGAATACATCTGAATTAATTGAAACCACTAATCTTGACCCGGGTCTCTGATCATCACGGACAAATCGCTACCTGTCGCTTGTCATCCTCGGTTCTCAATTCAGTAACGAATGTAGAAAAATATTCTTACAGCCTATCATGGAACTCGCATGTCGATGTAGTTTGTGGCAAGCCGAACAGATGTTTTTATGTGGTCACCACACTCCAAAACATGCTGGAACGAGATTGTCTGCTTGACGTATACTATGCACTTAGTCCAGTAATTATAGTAAGTTCACCTCGGAATTCGAGATACCCAGCAGTAAGTCTGTAAATACTTGTATATTGACACCCTAAAAGTTGTCTCAAAACCTACATATGGTAGGGTGTAAGCAACTATTAAATTTCAAGGTCAAAGGTCACAAAAATCGGTTTTTTGCGCTTTTTTTGGAAATATCTCATTTCCTATGGGTTTTTTNTTCCAAAAAAAGCGCAAAAAACCGATTTTTGTGACCTTTGACCTTGAAATTTAATAGTTGCTTACACCCTACCATATGTAGGTTTTGGGACAACTTTTAGGGTGTCAATATACAAGTAATTACAGACTTATAGCTGGGTATCTCGAATTTCGAGATTCTTACCTAATTTAAGCTTAAATGACTGGATTAACTGGGGTACTCCGCTATTTCATATAGTACCGTTGTCTGGGGTCAAGCGTCCAAACTACAAAGAGTGTTTGTGTTGCAAAAACGTATTATTAGACGTATTTTCTGCTTATCTTATCGATAAGAGAGACACCTTCAAAAGTAATAAAATTCTCACGGTGCCCTGTATTTATTTATTAAAACTTTTGACTCACATTTTCAAGAACCTTAGCAGCTTTAGAAGGCATTGCGATATTCACATGTATGACACTAGAAACAAAAGAAATATCCTACCGAAGAAAATGTGTCACTCCATGCAAAATAAAGCTCCAGTGATTACTGGAATTCGTCTATTCAACCATCTGCCCCTCGAATTGAGAGAGAGAGCAGAAGTCCAAATATCTTCAAACGCAAATTAAAGAAAGTACTGGCCGAAGGATGCTTTTACTCCCTCCGTGAATTCGAACTTTTTTGTCGTTAGTGACTTTCAGTACTGACCTTCTCATGTTTCTTCATATCTTGCTTTATCTTTTGTGATTTTTTCACAGGCGGTGAAGTATGCATCACTGAAATACCCGATTCAAATTCGGTTTTTGACTCGATGTTTCATAACATTCAAGAATGTAATTGTAATTTAATTTGTGAACTTGGACAAATCCGATCTATTTCTTGTTAGTAGGATATGGATGCAATAAATTTGAAATTTTAATTCTAACCACAAATAATTAACTCTGAATGTCTCATCCTTTGAATATTGATAATATTTCACCAAAGTCCGTCCAAAAAAAAGCCACTCATCGAGATATTACAGAGCGACCCGTTCTAACACGGGTTCTGGTTTATACTAACTTATTCTAAAATTCAAGAGTTTCTGATAATAGTTTTATATTCGTGAATATTGGATGTAAGTCTGGTTCTGATGAAATGCCCGTCATCTTACTTAAAAAGTGCTCCAATGAACTCGCACCAGTATTCTGCAGACTTTTCAACATGTCTTACATGGAAGGGGTTTTTTCCTTCTTGTTGGATTTTCATGAAACTCAAATATTATAGTTTTGATAGTGCCTTATTTCTCATCTGGTCTTATTTACTTGGTCGATCTCAAAAAGTTGTTGATGTTCATCAATCCTTACCTCTTGATATTCTATCAGGAGTACCACAGGGTTCCATTTTGGGACCTTTATTGTTCATCATTTATACTACTGACATTATCTCGTCCATCAAAAAATGTAAAATACAGGCGTATGCTGATGACATACAATTATACAGGCACTTTAAAATCGATGAGTATGCTGAAGTACAAAATCTCTTCAACACTGACCTTGATTTAATCAATGGGCTATCAAGTGAACATGATTTGAAAGTTAATCCTAATGAAACAATAATGATGCATTTTGAATCGTAGAAGAATCGTAAATTTACAGAAAACAATTTCCATTTAGAATTAGGTCATACTATCTTGACTCCTGTCAATACAGCTAAAAACTTAGGGGTGATGCTTGACACTGATCTCAGATTCACTAGTCATGTTAAGAATTTAATATCATTGAAACTGTTATACTGTAATCGTTTTATTTTGAGCCAACCTCTAAAAAGAATGCTCTAAAAAGGATTCTTGTTGCCGCCTAATTTATGGACTTCGTAAGTATGATTTTAATTTCTGAAGCCTTTAAAAACTCCCGCTGGCTCTATATGAAAAACCGTGTGATTCATCATTTGGGTTGCTTTGTTCATAAATTGATTACCCTTCCCCATTCTCCCCTTTTTAATACAAAAACTAATTCTGCGTGAAAATATTCACTCAAGAAACATGAGACATAAAAACAAATTAACTATGTCACAACATCGCACTGCACAGTTTCAGAGATCATTTCTTTTTGGTGCTGCAAAACTCTATAATTCATTGCCCGAGCAATTGAAGAGATTCAATAACAGGAAATTCAAATACAAATATAAAAATTATATCTATGATAGTCAGTAATGTCAACTATTGCTCATTGGACAAATTAATAAACAACAGATCAATTAAATATTATTATTTATCATCTCTCTTTAGAGGGTAATCACAAATTATTATTTTTATTTATGTTTCTTATTTCGTGGTACCATCACTGTTAAATGTATTTTATTTTTGTATGTTCGCGTGCATTATGGTAAGTGGTATGTCTTTACCTTCTTACAGTTGCTTGCCATAATATTATTTTTGTTGTTCTCTGCTAACCCAACCACTGGACGGTGGTTACGCGTTCAGTTTTAAACTAAGCGCAATGTCGCCGTGCCGTGCGTATTTATCCCGTTCAAAGCAATCCAGATCGTTCTCGAACACTAACGCGCTGGTCCGGCTGGTCGGTTCTAGCCGATTCTAGCTTGGTGGCGTCAGCGGCAGATCGCTCACCGCAACGTTGCCGCTGTTTATGTTTAATATTATGACAATTAGATTTTTTTGTGGAATTTTCGGAAGCTTCTCTGATTTTTGCAGTTTGTATTTTTTAAATTAGAATCGTTGTGAGAGCTACCAGAATTGCCTCCGCGAGCTACCGGTAGCTCGCGATCGACGGGTTGGCGACCACTGTTCTACCGTATGTCACTTATATTTGTAGTAACGCAATCGAGAAACATGGAGAGAAACAAGAGCTGTTGCGCTTGATGTTTCTAAGGCTTTTGACCGTGTGTGGCATGACGGTTTGCTGGCCAAACTTTAATACTATGGCTTGTCGGATCATTTTTGTGTATGGCTCTGCAGCTTCCTAAAAGAACGTTTCCTGCAAGTTGTCGATGGATATCGCTCGAATACTTACCATCAACGCCAACGCTGGTGTTTCCCAGGGATCCATATTGTATATCAACGACTTAATGGAAAAAAACCAGAATCCAATATATTGCTTTGCTGACGACAGCACAGTTGTCTCGTCATTCCATTTGGATTCCAGGACATCGACTGCGAATGCACATCATCACCGGCAGCAGGAGGTTGCATATATTAATGTGGATCTAGAGGTGATTTTGAATTGGAGTGAAAGTAACTAGGTTCCATTCAGTGCCACGGAAACCCAGGCATCGGTTTTCTCTAAAAAGATAAATGTCTCCTAACCAGATATACTACGCTTTCTGCTTCGACAAGTTTGTCGGGGGTTGAAGTGGACACCAATATTTCGTGGCACAATCATGTCGCTGGAATTGCAAAGGCTGCTTCTCAAAAGCTTGGAACATTGTTCCGAACCAGAAAACTGTACATAGCTCAGCAACTTTTGATGCTTCATAAAGCTCAGATAAGACATTCTGTGTCTGTAGAGTAGGGAGGGTGAGTGTTAGTCCACAGCACTTAGGCCACATGTGACCCACTGTACATTCTCCCGAGGAGTTGTCCTCCTAGGTCATCGTCCATCCTGTCCTTTCCAAGAAATTGGACAGGTCACTGGGAGACATCTCCTTTGAATCGGCAGGTGTAAGCCAAGACTCGCCGAACACACACTCTCTTATTGACGATAACTCCGGGCACTCGCATAGGACATGCCTGACAGCTTCATCTTCCTGTTCACACATCCTGCATAGAGATGTGTCCACTAGTCCTATATTATGAAGCTGTTCCCTTAGTTGACAGTGGCCAGTCAGAAACCTTACAGTTAAGCGTAGATTTTTCCTGGTCATCGCCAGATATTTCTTGGGCGCCAGCTTCCCAGGGTCGCCCAAGGTGATCTTGGCAATGCATCCTTTGATTCCAACCATCTCTCTAAGGATTGAGCATGGGTGTAACATTTGTCAGGCCGTAGGTGCCACTGGGTCCTAAAATTCTTAGTCCAGCCGCTTCCTTGGCTAAAGAGTCGGCAATGCGATTACCTTTACTCCTGTTATTATCAACCGAGGCTTTGGCTACATCTTGGTGACATTCTAGAACTAGCCCTGAGGTTATACGTTGTCTGTTCAAAGCTAATAGGGCTTGTGTGCTGTCAGTGCAGATTATGTTTTTGCCAGAAATTCCTTTCCTGGTTATTTCTTTTGTGGCGATTGAGATACCAGCCAGTTCTGTTTAAACCACGCTGGTATTTCTTTCCATTCCCCACTTAATCCTTAGGCTTAGTGATCTGGAGTACACTCCACATCCTGAGCCTTCTTTGGTTTTTGAATCGTCTGCATATATGCGTATTGCATTTGTNAGCTTAACCTTCGGGAACAGGGCCCGACTAGCTCAACCTTCGGGAACAAGGCCCGACCTGCTCAATCTTCGGGAACAAGGCCCGACCAGCTCAACCTTCGGAAACAGGGCCCGACCACCTCAACCTTCGGGGAATTGTCTTGATTTTATGGGGAGTCTAGCAGAACGCTATTTTTCCACTCAACCACGTTTGAAAGAAATCAAGAAAATTGTTATATTTGTTATTTTTGTTACTATGGTAAAATAATTAGGTATAAATGTTTATCTTTAGGTCGCTGTTGGCTAAGCGATTTCGTTTCAAGTTCGTTTTTAAATATCGGTAATGATACATTTTCAAGGTTACACTGAATGAATTATGCATTACTAAAGCGTGATACGTTAGGGACTGTTAATAATAATAATAAACGTCTTTATTACTACAACCACAAAAAAATCACAATATTAAGTTGTACATATATAAAGGCATAGTAAAAGGCATAGTTCAATTTTCGCAGCTATGCAAGTTCTTTTTCACATCTGTAATGTGTTGGGCACTAAGTATTTATAAAAAATATGTTATTAAAATATACATGAACAAATTTTAATGTGGCTTCAATATACAAATAAACACAAGAGTGTTGCAATATATTACTAAAGATCTCAAATTATAAATGTCAATAATGAATGTTTAAATATAAATTCCACCATCATGAGAAAATTAATTAATTATTTGATGTTCCTGTTGACAACAGATAACAAAATATTTGTGCGCTACTCGCTATCAGCTGATGTTGATTGTCAGTCTTTATGAAATTTATTCTTCAAGTAAGTGTTTGAGTGCATTATTTTTCAAAAGAATGAAATTAAAATCTGTTCGGTCTCAAAATCTTGCTATCGAAATTATTATATTTATCAAGTGAATCTTAATTTTTTAGTATTTAGCCTAGAGTTGCCAGCTCTAAAATTTGTACAACAAAACATATTGTTTTATGGCATTATTTTTATTTTATATATTGTTAACTGATCTTGTTTAGGTTATTCAATTTTTCATTAAACCTAATCGGGGTTTTCCAATTAGTTCTCTAATGTACGGGTCTTTTCTAATCCACTTATCCTCTTAAAATTTAATATTCTCGAATATCTTTTCCTAAACAACCCAAATATTCAAGCCTATTTCTATGTAAATATTGTAAACTACAAATAGCTCCCTTTAAATTCTTTAATTGTTCCTTGTATCCCTTATCTTGGGAATTACCCGCTATTATAAGCTTTCTTACCTACCAAACCTATGTCTATCCCTACAATGATGAATTTTACCCCTTCTTTAACTACCGATGTGAAACATTGTTATTTTTCGTTTGTTTGAAGGTGATTGACAATGTTTCATGATGAATTTCATTAGTTCGGACTTCCATTGTCTACTATATAAAATGATTTGAAATCCCTGAAACAACTAAAAAAGAAGAATTAAAAATGAGATAGCTGAAAATAATAATTATATTAACCAAAATAAACCTGAAATGAAATAATAGTGAAATNCTAAATAATGTTATTTTCTACTCTTTTTTTCACTTCTTTCATTGTGTCATTTATGTCAACGGTCAATATCAAGTTAAAAATGTCAAGATACGTTGACATCACTCATATAACACAACTATCGAATACCATCGATAATCTAAAAATATAATCGATAGTGATCGATAGCGCCATCGATAGTTCTCGACCCCTGGTCCTTTGAGACTAGACTGACTGAGAAGTAGATACTCATGAGACAACCTCCAAAAAGTTCTACCTTATTCGTGATCTTTTGCGCTGAATTTTTGTATAGGCGTTCTCGTTCTATTGTAGGTATTTACCAGTACCAAATCCAGTCCAAAGCAACAGTTCTCAATGACAGCAGCATCTTTAAGGAATTACTAGTGAAAAAGTTCATCTGGGCGCAATGGGACGCTATACAACAAACCTTATACTACATCCACCATCGAAAGAGAAAGAGAGGTTTGGTAGAAGGAGAAGACGACAATCTCGATCGGGGCGATCCCACGAAAATAACCCCCACTCTTTCTGGGCTCCAATTCAATGACGAGTTACCTCACGAAACTGTGGTAAGTTTCATAACGGAAGATGAGTATTGCGGGTGAGGGTTACATCTTGGAATATTTCCAGCTGAATATTCCATTAAACTTGCCCCATTTGTCGACTTCAGAGTCTTGTTTGATATATGAAGATGATGCTGTGCCCTTGAGGATACACGACTGTTCTTTGGATCTTCTTGTCGTAACTGACTCGCAGGGCTTCGTTTGCATATGTCACCATTATTTGTATCAGGTAAGTTTTTATCGATTATAGCATTTTTCACAAAGAAAATTTATTATTTATCAGCACTTGTCGTATTCACCTAGTCGAATAATAATTATTGAAAGACAAGAAATTCCAAATATTTTCATGGAAAACTAGCTGAAATAATATTCAAGAAGTTACACAGTGACTCCGTGCTTATGTGATAATCTCCATTTTTGTTGCACCGCGCTGATGAGGTCAATAGCAAGAAATATGTATTCGCGGTGAGTGTTTCGTTTTAAATGTTAGGTCCGCAAGCTCTCCTCTGCACTTAAACGTATATAAACTTTTTGTAAATTATTCAGTTGAACCACCTAATTATTAATTTTATTGAATTGTTATATATTCTTCCTTCCTTCTGCGTTCATCTTTCTCTCTTCTGCATTCATTTTCCTTTCTTCTGCGTTCATCTTCTCCTGTTCTGCGTTCATCTTCCTTCCTTCCGCGTTCATCTTCCTCTCTTCTGCGTTCATCTTCCTTCCGTCTGCGTTCATCTTACTTCCTTCTGCGTTCATCTTCCTCTCTTCTGCGTTCATCTTTCTCGCTTCTGCGTTCATCTTCCTTTCTTCTGCGTTCATTTTTCCTCTCTTCTACGTTCATCTTCCTTTCTTCTGCGTTTATCTTCCTCTTTTATGCGTTCATTCTCCTCTCTGCTGCGTTCATTTTCCTCTCTGCTGCATTCATGTTCCTCTCTTCTGCGTTCACATTCCCCTCATCTGCGTTCACTTTCCCCTCTCCTGCATTCATTTTCCGGTCTTCTGCGTTCATCTTCCTCTCTTCTGCGTTCATCTTCCTCTCTTCTGCGTTCATCTTCCGCTCTTCTGCGTTCATCTTCCTTTCTGCGTTCATATTCCTCTCTTCTGCGTTCATCTTCCTCTCTTCTGCGTTCATCTTCCTTTCTTCTGCGTTCATTTTTCCTCTCTTCTGCGTTCATTTTTCCTCTCTTCTGCGTTCATTTTTCTTCTCTTTTGCGTTCATCTTCCTTTCTTCTGCGTTTATCATCCTCTTTTATGCGTTTATCTGCCTCTTTTATACGTTCATTTTCCTCTCTGCTCCGTTCATTTTCCTCTCTGCTGCATTCATGTTCCTTTCTTTTGCGTTCACATTCCCCTCATCTGCGTTTACCTTCCCCTCTTCTGCATTCATTTTCCGGTCTTCTGCGTTCATATTCCTCTCTTCTGCGTTCATCTTCCTCTCTTCTGCATTTATCTTTCTCTGTTCTGCGTTCATTTTCCGCTCTTTTGCGTTCATTTTCCGCTCTTTTGCGTTCATCTTCCTTTCTTCTGTGTTAATCTTGGTTTCTTCTGCATTCATCTTCCCTCTTACTGCGTTCATCTTTCTCTCTCTCCTGCTTTCATCTTCTTTTCTTCTGCGTTCATCTTCCTCTCTTCTGCGTTTTTCATTCTTCGCCAGGCCTACTTACAAAACCTCATCGTGATCGACAATCCTTGTTTTCACCATAAAACAGAAAATTTTCGGTCAATTATCCCACTTCTGACACCAAATATTACGTTTTCCCCGTGCGTTCGACAATAATTTATCATACTGTACATTCAAAATCAACTTTATTTCACCACTTCACTCTCAATACAACACAAAAACCCTAACTGATCTCCAGTTTACTGCTCAAATGTCTATCATTTGATTGGCTCACTTTATACTGTAGAATAAAGTATAGAGTTACTTATTTTAAAATTGATTACTTCCTTCCTTTCTTTGGAAGAATCCCACATTTTTTTGTATCAAGATGAAGTAGTAGAAGGCCAAAAACTTTCTTTCCCAAAAAAAATAGTATAAAGTTTAATTAAATGTTGGCCCTTCGCATAAAAAACAATGTTTATAAATAAGGAGCAGTAAAAATATATACAATCTGGGCTACATATTCCTTCCATTGGCAAAATAAATGCAGAAACAACTTGGATCTGGCGGAACACAGGAATTCTGGACTAATTTGTGTTTCCTTTATTTGCAGCCTGTACAACCAATGGCTGATCTCAGCTGTGATGACGTCAGTCCTGTTCATTTTGCTTACTCGGTTACTGTCCTTCATCAGAGCTGCGTTATCCATTGTGTGGTACCTGATATTCAATGGAGCAGAGCAAAAAAAATCAGGCCGCTTTTCAAAAAACACGGTAAGGGTTTTGCAGTGATAACTGATATGAAACACGGCGTGGGCAAAAAATTACTGAAGGTCATCACTATTAGATTTAGTAATAAATACAACTGTAATAAAATGCAGATTACTCTCATAATTTGTAACATCATACTCACTTTACCTTAGCTGTATATTTATCAAAGTAAAGTCACCTAGTCTGACTCCACCAATGAAAACACTGAACTCCAATTGAATTTTTATAAATCTGCTTGTAATAGTCGTGGAAACTGCTATATTACAGCCCTTTCCCAAAGTAATAGGCCTATATTAGTGTTCTTCCAGAAATTTCATGTCTGAACAAGTCTTCTATTATTCCAGGGGACTACTTGATGGTTTTTATTCCTGAAATATGCACGCATTTACTCGATATCGGTTTGACACACGAACCATCATGTCACATAACCACTAAGCCCCTGATAATGGATATGGAGACGCATTTACTTTGTCTGGCCTCTCTGGTGCCGATAGAAAATGACTATGTCGTCAATTTAGCAACTCTGGACCTGATCGACTTGACGATACCGGATAATTTGCTTGTAGAAACTTTTGAGTCTGATACGTTGTTGGAAAATAAGTTAGGGATACTGCACTATTTCCTGTTACATTCAAACGAATTGGAACTAGCTACAGAAGTAAGTTTTTGTTTCATCTACTATCCTATTGATGGTAATATTTCACATAAAATTCAAATGAATTTACGAGTACACATAAAATCGATATTCTTTAGACCAGTGGTCGCCAACCTGTCGATCGCGAGCTACCGGTAGCTCGCGGAGGCAATTCTGGTAGCTGTCACAACGATTTTAATTTAAAAAATACAAACTGCAAAAATCAGAGAAGCTTCCGAAAATTCCACAAAAAAATTTAATTGTCATAATACTAAACATAAACAGCGGCAACGTTGCGGTGAGCGATCTGCCGCTGACGCCATCATGCTAGAATCGGCTAGAACCGACCAGCCGGACCAGCGCGTTAGTGTTCGAGAACGATCTGGATTGCTTTGAACGGGATAAATACGCACAGCGCGGCGACATTGCGCTTAGTTTAAAACTGAACGCGTAACCAACGTCCAGCGGTTGGGT